CCCCCCCGTCCCCCCCCCGCATCTATGTTTATTGGTCAACCAAACTACCACGTCTCCCCATCTTTGCGTAATGGACAACCAAACTACCACGTCCCCCCCCATCTATTTTTATTGGTCAACCAAACTACCACGTCTCCCCATCTTTGCGTAATGGACAAACAAACTACCACGTCTCTTCATCTATGCTTAATGGACAACCAAACTACCAAGTCCCCCCGTCCATGCTTACTGGATAACCAAACTACCACGTCCCCCTGTCCATGTTTACTGGATAATCAAACTACCACGTCTCCTGTTCATGCTTACCTCACAACCAAACCATCGGGTACCCTGTCCATGCATACCGGCAACCAAGCTATCACGCCTCTCCATCTATGCTTATTGGTTAACTAAACTATCAAGTCCCTCTAGCTATGCTTACTGGACAACCAAACTACCTCACACCATGCTTGCTGCTCAACCAACCATCACGTTGCAAATGCCGTTAATCACAGTTTTGCTTCATTGGTTAAAAAAGACGGAACTTGGCAGAACTTTTGAGTTAAGCTAATAAATAAGCTTGTAAAAAAAATGACAGTAAATAAATTCTGAGATTAGCAAGTCTATCAATACAGCTCTAGAGTGCTGTTAAAATATGTTTTTAAGAACTTTTGAATGTAAATTGTGATTTGGAATTGCTAAGACGTGGTAGCTGCTTAAATGATTACAAACCATCCTTGCAAACCAAGGCTCTATCTTACTTTTCGCAGAAACCTTTTTTCCACATGTGAAAAAGTTTTGCTCAAAATGTTAAGATTATTTATTTATTAAAACTTTAAAATGGTTTTATTCTTTTTTTTAAACTTTTTTTCTTACTTGAATATTATAAGCAACCAAAAATTTAAGAGCAACTGAGATTCTCCTTATAAACTGGGGAATTCACTCCCACCATGTCCAAAACAACATTTTTTGTTTTACCTTTTCTCCAGATGAATCACTTTTATTAGAAGTATAAAATACAGTGTTGTTAAGGCTTGACTTCTCTAAATCAGCTATGCAACATTAGTTAGCTGAGAGAACTTTCTAGAAAACACAGAAGAATCCTTGTTCAAGGAAGAGAAGAGTGCATGTGACAACTGTGATTATGATAGATTACACGTGTATAGAATACTTATACACTTAACGGCACCTTTAACGTGTATAGAATACTTATACACTTAACGGCACCTTTAACGTTAAAGTATAATGATCAAAATCTAATTACTGTTGTTTTTTTCTTCGCTTTAGCTAACCCATATCAAAACCTGCAATGGAAACCAGGTAATTTTTATCTATGTTTTTAAATAAATTATTATTTAAAAGGCCGGAAAAAGTTTGTAGTAAGTCATACAATAATGAACAATTCGTTGAAATTATGACAAACATAGGCATTAAGTTAAATATAATTGTATTTTGATAGGTGTAGAGTATCTCCAAGATTTACATTCGTACCTATTTGTTAAAAAATATTTTATATGCACTTAACCTTTTAATTCTATATTTATTTTCTTCTTAGTGGCGCTAACTTTGAGTAATATAAAAGAGTAAAGTGATACACTTACCAGGTTGTTAAATTTTCATATATCACTGATTAACAAATTTTATTTTTTCTCTTTTACAAAAGATACTAGGAAGTTTGTTACCTCTACCAATATGAACCTTAAAATCTAATTGAAAGTTTTCTATCACGTCTAGCTTCTTTAAGACCAAACATGTACTTTTGTCTATATAGAAAGTCATTTTGTTGGGCTATTATCGAGAAAAAAAAACACAACAAAGTAGTCGTTTGACAAACAATTTTATTTATTATATTAAAACAAAGCACAAACAAAGCAGTCTTTTGACAAACAATTTTATTTATTATATTAAAAACAACGTACAAACAAAGCAGTTTGGTGATTACACTTGCTTTTACAATTCATTCTCCTGAAGAAGAAGAATCAACTATTCGAAAGCGCTCGAATTTTGGGTCTTTTTGAAATTATTTGATTATACGGTGTACAGTGAGGCATGTACGCATCGTAGTAGTCAAAATTAAATATAACTATTATAGTATTTTGGCACTTATGTATGAAGTTAAAATCATAAATAATATTCAATGTTAAACTGGTACACAATCAAAAACATTTTATTTGGGCCTATCTATGGCCTTCAAAAAGTTGACGACTCTACATGTATCGACGTTACAATGTTTAGGAAAATTTTAGATTACACCTAATCTGAAAGCTCTTTACGTCTTATCACAATTGACCACGTTACTGTTACGACAGCGGAAGTCATGCGCGCTGGAGTTTCTAGAAGGATCACGTCTTTTCCTGGCAACTCTAGTCTTTTCTACGCGCCCTCTATTTTAGTATATAAGCAGGCAAATAAAGCGAGATAATTAATTGAATTGCAGACAGACAGGCAGAGATAGAGACGGACAATTAAGTCAAGCACGGTAGTGACCTTAAATAAAGTGCGTGAATCGTTGTGAATCATAGCGTGTGTTTAAGTTAAGTGACTGTGGAAATTAAGTGTATTGCAAAGTTGTATTGAGAAAGAAAAGAATAGTTTTTTAAGAAAGGACTTGTATTGCTAAAGTTTCATCCGAAAGAAATTATACGGGAAATTAACAAACGACCAGAGACGTAAAATTGCTTTAAAACGGTAAATTCTTATTTGTTTTAAACTAAAGCGATAAATTATACCCTGTCTTACTTTAAAGCAGTAAATTCTACTATGTTTTGCTTTAAAGGGGTAAATTCTACTATGTTTTACATTAACACGGTAAATTCTAATCTGTCTTACTTTAAAGGGCTAAATTCTATTACCCTGTCTTACTTTAAAGAGTTAAATTCTACTATATTTTACTTGAAAGGGGTAAATTCCACTCTGTCAACTCTAAAGTGATAAATTCTACGCTGCCGTTTTCGTTATATACCTCTGTACAGTACAAAACTATTGTAGGCGAATTTTAAGCTTTTAATTTAAAAAATCCTCGTTAGAACTTTAAGATTGAACTGTTTCTGATATTTATCTTGCAAAACTGGTTTCTCACTAGTGAAACACCATTTTAAAGAAAGAAGTGTTTCTAAAAGTCTTTACCAAAATTTTTCTATAGTAATATTTAATAACAAACTGTTTTGCAATTGACTTCAGAAATATTGTTTTCTGAAATAGCTTTTGTAATAACAAGTTTCGGTTACAATTTATTTTTCTTTCGGAATTACTTCAGTAAGAAGTTGTTCCTGATGTTATTATCAAGGGATTGTTTCTTATATGATTAGATTAAGAAATAGTTTTTAAAACGACTTTAGTAAAAAAACTGTTTTTAAATACCATTAGTAAGAAAGAAACTGTGGTAGTTATTCGGCTTAATCTGCGTCCAAAGAAGCCGCCATAGTGGGGGATCGTCAATGGTAAATCAAAAGTTGGGTGGGGTATTCTTTGGCGCCAGAAAGTTCCACAGAGTGACGCTAGAGAGTAGATAGTTTCAATATATGCCACTATGGTGGATAGTTCCAAAATGTGTTGCTAGGTTCAAACAGTTAGAAAGTATGTCACTAAGGGGTGAGCCAAACATTAGTTTAACTTACAATTGAGTAAAATTCTATTTTTCGTATTAACGTAAAACGATCAAATTCTAGACATATATTTTATGTATCACATTACGAAATCAAAAACTTCTATTTCATTTCAAAATAGTTCTTACATGATATTAACTTATGCATTATCGTTAGGGTCAACTTGATAAGTTCACTTCAATAAGAATATTAAATAAAGCGTTTTGTTAAATACACAAAATTAACATTGACTCTTTCGTTTTGCCCAGTGTTACAAAACGCTAAATGTACGTTCTCTTTCTCAAGATTTGGTAGTCCTGAAAAGGACCTTTAATTATAAAGCATTGATTAGACAAAATCTTCAGATGATGTGTATCTGTTATTTTCCCCATCTTTTGGACGGATCCTCATCTGAAAAAAAAAAAAATAATAATGATTCTTCCGAACTCCAAAAGCCCAATGTAGTAATAATTGCAGAATATTGATTACTCAAATAAAATATATTTCTTTATACAAAACGTGTAGAATACTCCCCAGTGTTATTCGATCTAAAATAATTATCAAATGTCTCCTCATTTCGAATATCTCCGGAATACGTCATACACTTAAAGCCCATGACTATAACGACAATAGTAAATTAGGTTTAATTTGTATCATAATCTAAGACAAGGGAAACCTTACACATTCAGTATGATTGGACAGACAAACAAGTGTGCATGATCTTCGCTCTATTTACATATTGTGTGTTGAGTAGTGTTTAGTTATCGTTAATGATTAAACACACAGGCCCTGATTTTAACCCGCTGCAGGGATCTTGCAACATGTCTCATAGTTGTGACGTTCCAAGAAAACTTACTATGACATGTTCTGTGTATCCTGCGGCGTTTATGAGTTGCCAGTATCTGGCAGATGACTAATGCTTAAAGGTCAGATAAACTTTTATCATATACTAAAGAGACGGGAAAATGAAAATAAAAGAAACGGCCAGTTTATACAGAGCTAGACGTACTTAAACATCATATACATCAATGTTATCAAAGACAGATAGATCTACGAATGAAGATACCGTTAATTGTTAAATCAGATAATTATTTTAGCCCAAAGCTAAAGTTGTACTATACATCCATATAATCATCATATCAGTTACAAATGAGATTTAAAATATCATCTTATAGTACAACGAATAATATATATAAAACTCAGTGTTAGACATTGATTTAAATACAGCAATGTGGCTCATAAGAAAACGAACACAGGAAACAAAGCGACAAGTTGAAGCTTTCGGATACTAAGTTGTTGTTAGCTGGGATTACAAATTTAACCTAATAAATAAATTTAATATTGATTTACTAACAGATAAATACGAACATATATTTTTGGCTTCCTTCACCACCTATCACACCTGCCTGAAAATGTTCACTTTTCAGGCAAATGTGACGGACGTCTTACAAAACTCAAATCAAGTTACAAGAGACATGTGAACATAAATATGTTAAACAGATTCTGATGAGTTTGTTTTGAATTTCGCGCAAAGCTACACGAGGGCTATCTGCGCTAACCGTCCCTAATTTAGTAGTGAAAGACTAGAGGGAAGGCAGCTGGTCATTACCACTTGGGCTACTCCTTTACCAGCAAATAGTGGGATTGACCGTCACATTATAATGTCCTCACAGCTGAAAGGGCGAGCATATTTACTGTGACGGTGATTCGAACCCGCGACCCTCAGATTGCCAGTCGAGCGCTCTAGCCACTTGGCCAAGGTAGTGTTAATCTGCTTCTTACATCAAAATTTATACACATATTTTCTTGTATTACATAAAATCAGTTAAATTTTTTCCTCTTCAGAACTATATATAATACATTAAGCAAAACCTGAATACGCTATTTTTATTCTTTGAAATAAACAATTCCAGTGCAGCGCTTTAAGAGGTGTTATCTAGTTGTGGATTCTCGGGTATGAAGATTTTCTTGAGTTATGGAAATGTCTAAACGCGTCGTTTTTAATCTTTTGCTATCATTTATGTTAAATATGTCGACTGAAATGACTATTAAGAAACTATTTCTAATACCACTACATTAATAATTTGTTATTATAATGACTTTAGTTAGAAAGTGTTTTACCATTGGTAAGATACATTCCTGACATGACTATCAAACACTATCAAGTTGTTTCTGATCTGACTGCATTTAGAAAAATCTTTTATAATGACTTTATAAAGAACGTGTTTTTACTATCAGTAAGATACGTTTCTAACGTGACTGTAAGGTTGTTTCTGATCTGACTGCATTAAGAAACATTTGTTTATAATGATTTTATAAAGAACGTGTTTTTACCATCAGTAAGATACGTTTCTGACGTGACTGTAAGGTTGTTTCTGATCTGACTGCATTAAGAAACATTTGTTTATAATGATTTTATAAAGAACGTGTTTTTACCATCAGTAAGATACGTTTCTGACGTGACTGTAAGGTTGTTTCTGATCTGACTGCATTAAGAAACATTTGTTTATAATGACTTTATAAAGAACGTGTTTTTACCATCAGTAAGGTAAGTTTCTGACGTGACTGCGAGAAACTGTCATAAAGCCCAGTCAGAAACATAGAGATAAAAGGCTTAAATACAGTTTGCCACTCAAATTCTATTTTTATCTGGTTGTTCTGAAATGAAGGACTCGGAAGAAGACAAACAACAGGTAGAAGAGGACGAACTGAACTCTACCCTGGTCCCCCCTGCTGATCACAAGATAAAGGCCAAACGGATTGACAGAACATGCCGCATCGGATTTCCTTGCTTGTTCTTCATTTTTTGTGTTGTTTATTGGCCGTACTACCTGTTGTAAGGGGGATTTGGATGAAAAAGTATGGATTTTATAATGTAGTAACTTAAAAGTTAATTTTCGTTGTATTAGTCATCATAACTTATAATTGCTTAGAGAAAACCGAGGCAAAAACAGGTACCAGCTGAAATGTATAAATTTGAGTGATGTAATATATTTTGTGAACACGATTCAGCAATGTAAGTCAACGCTAATACTTAGATAATTTTTGTTTGTGTGATATTTTTGAGGTTCTTGACTTATAAACATCCACGGCTAACTCAAACTTTATAGGCTATAATAGGTTAAGACAAATGAATGTTAAAATGTTTAAAAGAGAAATAATATAAATACATTAGTATAACTCTATACAGACACTAGCGGTATACAAATGTCTGGAAATCATTGAATAAACCTTCTAGTCTTCCAAGCATGATATCTATTATATCATGCTTGAAATAGTAGAAATTTGCAGGTTAAATTATAGTTAATGTTCGTTTCATGAGTAAGTTCCAAGTGTTTTTACGAATTCTTAAGTGTGTGGATGTGCTATGGTTTATTAAGAATCGGTGTTAAGTTTGGATCTGTAAATAAGCAGAGAGTATGAATTATCTTAAACTCAATTGGATCAAAACACATGAAGCCTCTACTTGATAATTCCACATTGGCACGCTAGAGGGTTTTTTAAGCGATGTGAAAATGCTGAGTATATTCTATTACATATCCTAGTCCACATCGACAAAATTGGCACATGCGTCTGCTTCTTCAAGTAAGACTGAATTTCATCCATGGAGTTATGCAAACTAACCTGTATGAGTATCAGCGAAACCATACGTTCAAGGTGTTTGCCAATTTTCACGCAAGAAACGGCTTAGATGAACGCAAGGGAATTATTAAGAGGGAGATAGTACCATGTAACCCCAAGAATAGAATCAACTGGTTATAAAAAAAAGGTTCTTGGAACTGGAAGTCAAAAAAGACCTTATTGTAGACAGTAGTTATCCGAATGTTGAATACTTAGCAAAACATTTATGAAACAGAAAACGACTTTTATAGGATATTAAGAACAAAAATGATAAGCAGAATCTGAGAACTTAGCATGCGAGATTAACTACCTTAAAAAAATATATAGCAAACGACACCTGGAAAACAGATCAAATACAATTTTGTCACTGTGAGAAATAAAATTGAAAAGCAAAATTCTTCTCATTGTGAAAGAGAGAGAGCAAACTGAGTTTTCCGTTTCAGACATTGGCTTGTTGTAAACAAAATAACCAATCTTTCTCAATATAAAATACTTAGACTGTCAAAATTATATTAACATTGACAAAAAAAGAGAGGAAGTTATTTTAATATAAAGAGTTGACAAAATTATTGTAATTATTTCTTTGGAGAATACTAGAAGGGTATGATACAATAACTTGCTGTAAGATATTACAAAAATAGGAAAACTGGTGTATAAAGAACAAAATAGAAACGTAGTATTCAGAATATTCTCATGGTTAAATATCAAAGACAAAATAAAAAAAGTCTTTGTAAAATAGGAAATATAAAAGGTTAGAAACCTTTTTAATTTACTGTTTAACTTTGGAACAGCATGATCTTGAAACGTTTTTGCAATAAAACATAGAAGATGAGAAGAAAAAAGGTTTTTTTCAAAACGTTGAGAAAAACAAGTCCAGAAAACTATTTTATCGTCATATGCTAGAAAAAAAATATCTATAATCTAACTTTAAAATAAAAAATATTACAAGTGTATGGCCTACTAAATAATGCCGTCTAGTGAATCTTCCCTAAAACGTGCTGTAGGCTATTGAAAATTAAAAACAGAAACCTTCTCAATGTAGTAGAAAGTGTGCGTAGGGCACTATTCTATACAAATTTTAATATACGGACTTTATTATAAATGTTATAACTATTAAATAACAAAAGATGTTTTGACCATATATTTAGTATATAAATATAATTCCATAACTTTCTTTATCTAAAATGCTAGAATAATATAAACTAAAAATAGACTTCGCGGTAAAATAGCACAAAAATATGACCCAGAGAATGTCTCAGTTTTTACGTAATAAAAATATATTATTTTTCTTTTGTACTAAAATCTAATGAAAGAGTTATTCAGGAACACTCTTACTGTAAAATATCTAAAACTCAAAAACAGATTGCTGCTACTGTAGAATACAAGAATAAAGTGATCTATAGTCACTCTTATTTAACATACGGTGTTTTTATAAAGTTTTTTGGAGTGCTTGGAAATCAATAAAAATGATATTATTAGTTATGAAGCTATATTTCTTGACGTAGATTCCAGTGAGACCATAAGGAACATACATCAGTGATCACCAAATTGAGCCGCCGGTCATGTGAAGCATTGCCTATATCCTTGGAAGCTATTTTAGAACAATATGGTCAAATGGCCCACTTGATTTTTGGGGTACCTAAAGTCAGCTGTATATAGTCCAGAGTTTGATGTATTTTCGCATTTGAAATCTGTCACTTTGTAGGCATGTTGAATATTGGACAGCTTCGTTCAGCTGTTTCCCACTTATTCCAATGATACAGGACATGTTTCACATGAACGGTGTTCACTACGAACAGATGTACCACCTTCTGATGATCAATGTTGAAGGTCAAGCATTCATATTCCCTATGGTCTAACTGCTTGCTACGTTCAGCATGGGCTTCTAACACGCCAATACGCCTTAAAAGAGCCCTGCATAAATCAAATCTAAAGATTATGTCGTAAAATTAAAAAACGTAAAAAATAAATAAATTTTCTTACAGTTAAATATGAGAAAATTATGAGCCAAAATCGTTCTTATTGGAAAATGTACAAAATAAAAGATAAAAACTTTAATTTTGTAAATTGTAGAAAACAACAGGAGTAAAAAAATATTTTTTTTTCATACTCTACAAATACTAAAAAAGACAAATAAGCACTGTTCATACAGTGATATTGCTATAGAGCTAAAATAGAAAAAAGCTATTGTAAAATAATGAAATGTAAAACTCCAGAAAACGTCTTGAAATTGACGATACCAAAACGTTCTTATTGTTAAGTAGCGACAACAATAGTTAGAAAGTTTAAAATAAGAAAATAATATTATCTGAATATAATAAAAAATATGCATAAGGATATTTTTGAAGAGATATAGAGTCCAAGCTCTCACCGCACATACTAGGAACTATAGGAGCAAATTGGAAAAGAAAAAGAAATATTCTAGGACTCTTCTTGCTGTTAAATATATACATAAAAACTAATATTAAGTGAAAGTTTTATTTTTTTGAACATCGAAACGAAAGTATGAAGCAACGTTAAACTTTTGAACTATACAAGAAACAAATTTACTAATGACAAATTATTGTAGCGTTTTGAATTTTCTCTTTCATGGTTATTCTACTATATCGGAAATTAATAACTTTATTCATTAACAGTTACTCAACCACATAACTTAATTCATTAACAGTTACTCAACCACATAACTTAATTCATTAACAGTTACTCAACCACATAACTTAATTCATTAACAGTTACTCAACCACATAACTTAATTCATTAACAGTTACTCAACCACATAACTTTATTCATTAACAGTTACTCAACCACATAACTTTATTCATTAACAGTTACTCAACCACATAACTTAATTCATTAACAGTTACTCAAACACATAACTTAATTCATTAACAGTTACTCAACCACATAACTTAATTCATTAACAGTTACTCAACCATTCTTCTAGGTCAGGAATCTGGGCAGAAATTTCCTCACATATGAAGTGCTTCTTAGATACTTTTAGAAAGAAATTATAAGCCATCGTGTTATGATTCTGTTGGTATCATTCGTATTTCGTAGTACTTATTTTAAACAATAGCTTAAATGCGAGAATATCCCTTTTCCACCTATTTAAAATGGATAATTTGCAATATATTTTTCTACAGAATTATTTAACTTTTAGAAAACATTTGTAAAACTTGTGAGAGGCTAAATTCTAACAGTTGTGAAAATGAAATATATATTTCAAAGCTTTTGCACTCGCGTTTTGACTATAAGTTTGTTTTGTTTCTGTTTATTGACCTAATAGACTGGATATACAACACTTTGAAACGGAATAAAATATATATCGTTGCACAAGTAAGAAACATGATTCAATCAGAAAGTCAATAAGCTATTGATGCTGTCTTTTGGTCATAGTTTCTTGTTATGTTCTTGGTTTAGAAACATATTGCGAGTGTTGTTTTCGTGTTAGTAGAAAAATAAACTGTATATTTGTGTTATAAGACACTCAATGGTTTTCGTCATATGATAAGTCATTTGATATTTGAGTCAACTGTGACGTAAGAAGTAACGCAACGTAAGAAGTAACGCCTGATACTAGTGCATTTTGTAAAAAATGTGACTACTGAAGTAACAATTAACGTCTGATATTAGCAGATCTTGTAAACATTTATGAGAATGAACTGGTAATAGAAGAAATAAAAAACAACAACGGAAGAGTAAGTCCAGGTTTTAGAAAAACATTAAACTATAACGAATGCCAACTAGTGGTTTAAAACTAAAACCAACCTAAGTAGTAATAATAATAATAATACCTAATATCATAAGGAATAGTGGAAACTAAAGAGTAACATTTGATACCTAAAGACATTGTAAAACTAACGAATAACTTTTTATAGTGAGGAAGTAGAAACCAACTGGTGACAGCTAAGAAGTAACAACTTTTTAAAAAGTAGTAACTTTAGCGAATAACTCCTGATACCTGAAGATGTTGGAAAACTAACTAGTAACACCTAATACTAAAATATAAAAATAAAAACAGACGACTAACAAGTAATACCAAATGAAAGACACGAAATATGTAATGTCTGGTGTCAGTCAACATTTACAATCCTAATGAATGAGCCTGGTATAAAACAAATGAAGCAAGAACTAACAAATAAACCTAAAAAACTAACAAATAAAGCGAAATCTGAACTAGTAAAATCTACCAATTAGTTCTGATATCCAAAGATTTAGTGAAAACAAGCAGTTAAATACGATACCAGCCTTAGTAAAGTTTACGTGCTTAGAACGCTAAAATCCAGGGTTCAATTCCCCGCGGTGGACACAGACAGCAGATAGTTAAACGTAGCTTTACCATAAATTAAAAATACAAACAAAGGAAATAGTAAAAGCTGATAATTTAATTCTGATACCAGAAGATGTGGTAAAAATTAAAGATCAAATTTAATATGAAAAAAACACACGTAAAACTAACAATAATCTTATATAAGAAACCGATAAAATCAAATTGAAAACATTGTAAAAACTAAATAGTAAGCCGAATATGTAGCAAAAACTATCAAATAAAGTTATCATTATTGACGTAACCTAGCTTACAAATACTGACAGTAGAAGTCCAGTGTATAATATGTTTTTACTCTAACCCCTAAGCCTCGTCGAATTAAACGTGTCTCGTAATAGAGATGGGTAGAATTCAATAAAAACTTCCAGCCAATCAGATATATCCGCCCCCCTCCACGTCACAACAGATACTAGCGCGTATATGTAGTAAGTCACATGCCTCATATAGTCACAGAAAACTAGCAAAACATTAATATATAAAGTTCATTAGAATTAATGCACTGACGATCAAAAGTATATTAAATCACACACACCTCAGTTGAACACAGTCTATCTGGTGAAATACTGTTAAAATACCATTGTATCATTAATTCGTAACAATAAAACAGTTCGAATACATCGAGGTAGTGACGCTGCGAATATCACAATAATGTAATATATCCCTTATTGTGATTTTTTTAATCCACTGTTGCTATAGCAACAAGTTACACAACTCTTTTTCTACTAACGTTCAATACCTGTGCAGAGGAATCAATGAAATAAAAACAATTTGAATATTTAAAACCTTATAAGTAAGACCCACACCGAATGTGTGATGTATAACTTGGCTTAGAGTTATTGCGTTTATCTCTGTTAGGCCTAACTTATATAGTTTGTTTTAAAATATAATTGTGTACAAGTTTGCGAACTCAAACTTATTAAAAGTGATTTACTTCGCTCCTTTATATTTCTCCTGTAACTAAAGAGTTATTAATACGATGTTATTTATTATAAATTATGTATATGTTTTGATTATAAGTTATGAAATTTACACTCATAAAAGCAGTTCTCATCATATTGTTAATTGTGAGAAATGTATGTATTTTGAGTATATTTTTGTTAAGAATTACAACAAGATACTGTCAAACTTTACCGCTTCCCGTTTTCTCCAGTTACTAACGGCTATACTCTTCTGCACGATTCCTCTCAGATTCAGTCAGCCATGATATCAGCAAAAGCACTAATGAAAGTGTGGCAGATCTCAGATTAAATGTATACTAAGAATTCAAATCAGAGGCTTCGGTTGTTAGCACTTGAAACAGTCACTTAAGAAATCGAATAAGAAGAACGTGTAGGGGATTTCACTATTCAGCTAATGAAAGGTTTCCACTCACTCAATC